ATTATTAAATATAAATTACTTATAAAAATCATTTATTTTAGATTTATATAAAATGAGTTCTGATGAAGAAGTTAGTATTGTATCAACTTCAAATATAGATAAAGATAAAAAAGTAGTTAAAAATATTAGTGGCTGTCCAGAGGGTCCAGTTTGGAATTATTTTACAAAAGGAAAACAAGTTGGAAAAAGAAAATATGAAGCAACATGTAATTTTTGTGAACTAACTTGGAATCATGGTGAACCTAGTGAATTAGAAAATCATTTAGCTAATCACTATCAAAAAGCTGATTCAATAATTATTTGTCAATTTCTTACAAAAATTCTTTCTAATAATTCTGAACAAGAGAAATCTAGTAAAAAAAAAAAGATCAATAGTCAAGGACCACTTGATCAATATGTTAGTTTAATAAAATTAGATAATCAAAAAATTAAAAGAATTCATCTTGCTTGGTCTAAAGCTTTTATAATATATAGAATTTCATGTCAAATTATTGAAAATCCCTTTTTTATTGAAGCTTTAAAAGAAATAAATTTATTATATGAACTATCTACATAACAACTTTTGTCTAATAATCTGTTAGAGCAACAATTAGCAATAGTTAATCAAAAAATGGATAAAATTTTTAAACAATATTCAAATTTAACATTGGGTAACTATATTTATTATATATTATTATTATTTTTCATAATTAATCTGTATAAAATATTATAATAACTTATAAATTATTAATTTAGCATTAGATGGATAGAGTAGTAAAAAAAATTATTCTTATTGAAATTTTATAGTTATTACACCAGAGTGTAAAGAATATTTATATAAACTTTGTAATTTTTCAAATGAGAGCCATATTGCAAAGTTTTTAGCTAATAGAATCGAAGATGTTTTGGATTCAATCGGAGCAGAACATTTTGCAGCTATTGTTAGTGATAATGAGGCTAATATTAAACTTGCTCGAAATATGGTTATTGCACAATATTTATATATTTTTAGTATTAGATGTATTGCATATGCAATAAACCTAGTTGCACAAGATATTTTAAAAAATGAGTGGGCTGATAAATTAGTAAAAAAATACAATATATTATATAATTTTTTAAAATCTTCACATTAAGCAGGTATGTATTATAATTTTATTATTTAAATGATATACATTTATTTAATATAAAATTTATATATTTATAAATTAAAGAAGTAGAAATAAGATTATTAATAGAAGAATATAAAATTGATGAAGGTGGTTTTAAAAATTATTCAAAAACTAGATGGACTACTACAAGTGATTCAGTTGAAAGTGTAATACATTTAGAAAAAGTTTTAAAAAAGGTAATTTATTATAGATATATTTTAGTATAAGTAAATATATAAAATTATTATAAAATTATAATATATAAAAACTATTTATTTTAAGCTAAATTAAATACCATATTACCACGGAATAGTGCACATGGGCGTTATTTTGAAAATCGCATTCCCTTAAAATAGTATACTTGGCTTCAAAATAACACCCATGTGTGTCCCAAAATAGTGCACACCTTATATAGTATACTGTATAAATAAATGTATTTCTATAACTTTAAGTGTACTGAACCACAGAGAAAATTCTT